TAAATTAACCTTAAATTTCATGAACTAAACTGAAATTAAATTAAAACAACAAATTAAAGTAGATAACAAAAACAAAAAATTAAAGAGCTTGAACTTTAAACAAATCAAAACAAAATATAAATTGCTTGAAAACTTAAATTAAACTTACAAAAATTTAAATTAATTGAAAAACAAACTGAATTGATTTGAAAACTTAAGAAAACAATGCAAAAAAACTTAAAAGAATAATGACTAGTCTGTCATCCTAAACCTTACCTAAACATTGTCAAATTAAATACATTAGGAGTAAAAAAAAAAATCTTATTTTACTGAAAACTAAGCCAAAAAAAAGAAAAAGAAAAACAATCTATGGAAATTTTGTGTGACTTATTTATCAAAGAATTATGTTTATGCAAAATGATGAAAAGAAAAGTTGAAAAACAATCTATGAAAATTTTGTTTGACAAGTCACAACAATGATTATTTGATGTGTGAATACACATCAAAGTTTTATTAGAAACAATGACAATGACTATTCATTTTTTTTCTTTGAATAAATTTACTAAATATGTTTGTTAATATATTTAAAGGTATTAACGATTTATTGAATGACCTATATCTAATTATGATGTTATTAAAGCATGTCATAGTTGCTAAGTGATTTTGTTGGTTGACATATTGTTTAAGATTATTGCATTGATAATTGCTAGTATAATGCACATTTATTAGTTTTAGAAATTGTGTTAGAGTATTTTATAATTTCTTGATGTAAGTATGCATCTCTAAAAATTATGTAAGTGTGAGATTTGAAAATTACTAGATGGATACATTCATGATTATTGTTTTAATTAATGATTTGTTACATAACTAAGTTTTAAAATCATTCATTTTGATTTGGAATATGATTAAAGTCTGATATATACATGCATTGTGATATATTATTTATTTTAAGAAGTATATTGTGATGGCGTTATTGAGATATCTATTTTTTGTGTTACTAATATTTTTTGGGTCTAATCCGACTCGATTTTAAATTAATTAAAACTTAAAGTGATTATCGGATATCGAAAGATCCCAAACCAAAGAAATAAGGATTTCCAAGTAAGAAGAAAAGTGCGTACAAATTATGTGATTAAAAATGAATACTTCACTAAGGCTTAGTTTGGAATCCACTGGACTCCCAATGAGGCATGTTTAGGTTTGTTTTTAGCTAATTTCACTGTAAATGTTGTTTGGACAACTTTGCCTAAGACTTGTATGGGTCTTTGGCCCGTACTACCATACTAGTGAAGGACTGGAGCTTTAAAGATCTAATGGACCATGGTGTTCCAACTGGACTCTTTTACACTCAATTAAATTTTTTTATTCTTATTATACCCTTAAATGAGTTTTTATTTACTAAAAAAACCCAGCATCATAATTATTATAAATATGCTGTTGAAAATGTGTCCAAATACAACAATTCAATGTAAATTTCAATTATTAATTTCAACATTTTTAGTCATAATATATTATTTTAATCTAAAATAATAATTCACTATTTATTCAATAAAACTTTAATATTTAAATGTTAAATAACATTAACATATATACATAAAAATAATTCTCAAATATTTAATAATAAAAGTATTATTTGATATAAAAATCATTTCACTCATTTTTAATTTATTAAGAAAAATATTATTTGATATAAAATAATTTTAATAATTTATTAGTTTCACATATATAAAATATATAATACAAATTTTATTATAAGGTTTAATTTAATATTCTTAATAGTTGTTTTCTCTTCTAAATACACTTTATCTCTCTACAATCATTCCATTTGCGTTAAAACACATATCCATCACTGATTTTAATCTCATTGCTATAATATACAATCTTATTATTACAATAACTAATCTTATCGTCATCATTATTTTCAATCTCATCGGAATCAATCCCACACCCATCCAAATGGACCCTAAAGTGTATCGTTTCAAAAAGACAATTAATTTGGAAACAAATGTGGTGACAAAAGAGGTGACATGTTTATAATGTTCACTTTGTGAAAATGAGAAGCGATGAACATTAGTGGATGATTAAATTCAAAAGAAGCATGTCATGAGTCACTAATTCAAGTATACTTTTAAGAGATCTTCCTTCTAAACTTGTTAAGATACAAAGTGTGAGTTGAATTATCAAACTAAATAGTGTTTGATAAAACAAAAAAAGATAATAAGGTAACCAAAATGTTATAATACAAAGAAAAATATGGACTACTTGAAATTTATTCTATTGTGATTAAGATTTTCTATAGGAGATATGATTTCTAAGCTACAAGCATGAAAATGGAAGCGTAGAAATGCTCTCTTTAATAATGAGGTGAATAAAGACATATTCATCAAGTGGAAAGGAATGTGCTCAAGACAAAAAAACAATGTAAGACTTATGAAGGATTAAAATCAAAGTCTTCCTATTATGAGGTATGTATTTTCTAAAAAGATAGATTACAAATCTATCAATGTGCAACTAAATTGGAATTTGGATAGAATGAGTTCCAAATTCACAAGTGATTGATTATTATTTTAAGTGATAAAATCACTTTAGATGAAGATCAAATTGTGATTCACAAAAAATAAAAGATATATATATGAAACAATCTTCTAAAGCATTATCATGTATAAAATTTGAGCTCAGTGATAATGTTTCATGCCACCATGGACTTACTTTGGTTTTAAAAGGTTTCTAGAAAAGAATATCTTTTGTTGAGAGAACTAAAGAAGCAATCACTTGTCTAACAATAGCAAATACATTACTATGATAGAATCAATCATGTGTTGCAAGGAAAGAAAGAAACTTTCTATTAGTGGATCCACAACCTATATTCTTGATTGGTGATAAAATATTATGAGAGATATGGGATTAGTATTGGTTACTAATAAATAATCTTGATTGATTCCTATTCTATCTTAGTGTTTCCATTTAGAAAATTAATCCTTTCAAAGAAAAGGATAATCTTCTCACAGGGAAAACATTATATGTGAGAGTTAAAGGTTTTCAATCTTGAAATATCCAAGAAATTCATATATGAGATATATGGAATTCCTAATGCATAATTTTTGAAATAATGGGGATAATATTCCACTATAAAATCCCATATCTGGGTGCATTGTTGTTCCACAACAATATAGTTGGACATAAGCCCATAATAGATTTATAGCTAACTGAGTAAAGTGTAAAATAAAAAGAAAAAAAAAAAAGCACTTTAGACAAGCCTTCCTTTTCAAGTAGAAAAGTGAGAGGCCACTTTTTATGGATTTTCGATTTATCCTAGAGTACTTGCTAACACAAGATTTAGTAAAGGCCCATGTAATGAATTATGCTATCCTTGGAAGATCTTTTGAACCAATGTAAGGTTTTTGTTGTGTCTCATATTCATTCTAAAGGTTCAAGCCTTGGCCACCTTTAGACATACATTTTGCATAAGAACCTAATTGCATTTTTCTTTAGGTTTGCATTCGAATACATTCTTTGGTAATAAGTGGAGGATTGTTGTATATATAACCAAAGATATGTTTTTCTTAAAAGCTTGTTAAAGTTAAAACATAGTTTTACAATCATTTAGTATACATGTGTATTGAAAAATAATGTTTTGAAAGTATAGAAAAACATTGAAATGAAATAAAGAGGGAGTAGCTAACTATCCTATTAGCTGCTAAGAGAAATTAACTGATTGCCATAGCAACTGCGTCCGAGCAGTTGACATTCTAACATCAAAATAGACATAGGCAATCAACTGCCGTTAAGGGGTAATCGATTTATCTTAGAAAGACAAAAGTTGGAAGTTCAAAAGTAAGCATTTAAATATCCATATTTTGGATGAAGAAAAAAGTTTAAAGCAATTGACTGCCCTTGTAAAGTAGTCAACTTCTCGTGTTATATATTGAAAAAATAAGTCTGTTAGATTTGCCTTTTTACTTAAAAAGAGGTATTACTTCATTTAAAACATGTTCTTTCATGTAAGAACGTTTGAGGTGACTTTTGGAATCTATAAATACTTCCTTAAACATTGTTTTACAGAGGATTAATGTCATGAATCATTCTTGAATTATAGTGAAATATGTAATGTAATATTTAGACTTTAAAAATTTCAAATGTAATACCTAAACTATGAATTTATTAACTAAAATGGTACTTGAAAAACTATTTGTTAGCTATATGTCATCATAAGAGCTAATGATTTTAAGGATAAATATTATATTAATTTAAAAAATTTATAATTCAAATATCACATTAGATAATTTTAAAATTAAAGTATCACATTGTACATTTTATTATAGTTTGAAAATCATTTATGCCATTAATCCTTTTACAAATAATTTTAAAATTTTTACATCTTTTCAAGATCAAATCAAGATTTCTTCTCCTTGCACTCCTTTTTTTTTTTTTTTTGAAGTTCATGATTCAAGAGAGATCAAAAAAGAGTTGAAGTCCAATTAATTCTTCTTCGTTGAGCACTATATCATGGGAACAACGTTTTCTAATAACCATTTGCATTTGGTGTAGGAATTATTGTCTTTAAGAAAGCTTTATGGAAGTGCCTTGTCTAAAGTTCTTTCAAATTAATTTTCTTGAACAAAGTTGCATATTTGTTATTGGTGCACACAAAAATTTAAGATGTTTACAAATTTTCCATAAGTTGCCAACCTTAAATACAACAATTGTGAAAAGATTTTTTTTTCATGAATTTCCTAGAGCCGATGTAAATATATTTACTTGGACCAACTTGAGAAGGGATTTATTGGGCAAAACTCAAGAACCCCTTACTATTAAACAAAAAAATATGAACACTAAACTATAATTTTGATTATAATTCGGATAGTAAAATGTATAATTACACTTAATTTTTATACTCAATGCCATTTACATGAAGACGTCCACCAATTCGCTTATTATATTGCAAATGCAACTTTGATTATTAACACTAAACATTGATGTGCAACGAGCAAAAGCAAGCAGGGCAGTAAAGGTCCTCTATGGAGAAACAAAAAAATTTACTGTTATAATATGTAGATTCTGTTCTTTATTACAGCCAAAAAAATAAATAAATTCCATTTTTTTCTTATTGCACAAAAAAAAAAAAAAAACTACTAGTTGAAAGAATTTCATTTCTCAATATTAAAGAAGCAAAGGATGAAAGAGTAGTGGGTATTTGTTGTGTTCTGTTTAAGATGAGTTATTGACAGCACATTCTTCTGGGAGGCCTTGGGGAAATCGTTTTGTGTCAGAGCAGTAATTGTAAATCATGTAATTCCTCTGCACCCACTTGAGCCTCTCTTGATCTGTGGAGTCCAGTTCTTCCGAGAGCCAAGCTGCGTTGTCATTGTTACCAGGAGAGTTTGAATTGCAAACTGATGCTCCTGAAGACCTGATGCAAGCATCAGCATTGAAGTTTCTGTAGTAGGCAGTGAAGGGAGCTTGTCTCCAATCAGTCTTGATTAGACCACCTCTTGTGGCCCAATCATCAGCGTTCCAGAGACTAGATTGTATCCTCATGGGCTGGTTCTTTGGGAATGGAACACCAATCGATTCCAAGTTTTTGAACTCTCTAATGGGAGTGCCATCAACATAGAAGCTGCAAAAAGAGGAAAAATTCGAAGTCAGTACAGTTCCCAGAAGAAGTTAGAAATGTGTAATTTAGACTAGCTTCAAATGATTATCACTTACATGATACGTTGGGGATTCCAGAGAATAGAATAGGTGTGAAAATCAGCGGTTGGATCAAACCAGAGGTAGAACTGTTGCTCTCTGTCTCCTTTGCCCTGGCTGAATACATTTGTGTGAAGAATGTAAGGTTCACCACTTAAGTTGCCCAAGAATTCGAAGTCTATTTCATCCCATGCAGAATCTTCAGAGCGCAACTGCAATACAATATCAAAAACAGATATTTGTCTGTGTTTTAGCATAAAGTTTAATAAAATAAGGGATTAATAATGGGTTAATGTGCAAATTGATTCCTAAACTCTTATCACTTTTAACAATTTGATATCTTTATAAAAAAATTTACGACTTGGTAGCTTAATTTTACTTCCGTTTAGCACTTTACAATATTGATTAATGTGTTAAGCAAAATAATAACATGACATTTATTGGTCGATCATGATTTTTTTCGTCAATTTCTTATCACATAAGCGTATCGCTAAGAGAGTTCATGTCTAGAATAAATAACATAACAAAATGAAAGTTAGATATCAAACCGGGAATTTTTTATTCTTATTAAATTGTGAAAAGTGATATAATTTTATGACCAAATTACATATTAACCCTCTAAGAATTCATGATGTAAACCTGCAGAATATTGGAACTTACATAATATGCGGTGACAGTGCCTGCAGAATTGCCAGGGACAAGCTTGAGCTGCATAGCAATCTTTCCAAACAAAAACTCATTTTTGGACTGGAAACCTGAGCCAGAGGCTTTGTCAAGGGAAAGGGTGAGGAGTTCACCATTGTTGAGTATCTGAGCACGACCATCTCCCCATGTAATATCAAAGTCCTGGTAAAAGTTGCCGGCAGATGCAATTATCAAAGAACTAACCCATATAGAGATTAGGAGAGTACTAGAAACATTTGAAGAACAAGAAAAAGATGTCATTGTTGCTGATGTATTTGCAGCAAGTGATTTTCAGCAAAGGAGTGATGCTTTAATTCTTAAGGGACCTGAAATTATAGCCTACTATTTATATCGGCAGGGGGACGAACAAATATTGAAGGGTGCACACTTTGAAGGTTCCTCAGAATTTTAAAGGTTGGTGGGGAAAGAATATGAGTTGTAGAAAAGCTGGCGATGCATAAAAAGATAGCTAGAGAGAAATGATGGGTCATATCAATTTTAACCACTCCAATCCAATCAAATGCTAATCGGCCAAATTAAAGAGTCTGGAGCTAGCCGCCTTAATTGTCGTGATTTTGTATTCAAATAAACCTGACAAATATGAACCCTGACGATTCGAAGCTGAGAAATCCAATCTGCATCCACCGCCTTCAGGATCTCGCTGGTCCCCTCTCAATACAAATAGTTTTGCTTTCCAGTGTGTCCACAGCTTGCATATATGGATTTGATTTTTCAACAACTTTGGGTTCAAAGTAGATAAGTAAATTATTGGCACGTCCTTCAACATCTAGAAAGCAAAAGGGTGAGGGTTACCTATGGATGTTAGCTCAAAAGGTAAAAATAATTTATTTCTCTTTTGGTTACTTAAATTTGAATTTATTTAAAAATTATACAAAATAATTTTTTAAGAATTCATTAGATTTGGTATAAATAATTTTGTTTATATTGGTTGCAAAAAAATGTATTAAACAAGATAAAAAAATCCTTGATCGTTAAAAAAAAAAAGAAAAAGCTTAAGAATCTTTATTTTCTTCATTTGGTACGTACTATTATTAAATTAATTTCATTTTAAATTAGATACAAATATGATCCCTTATGGATTTGATAAGTTTTGACTTTTTATTCATATAAAAATATCTTGTAATTGACAATGTCTGTTAGTTTGAATAATAAAAAATTTAATTTCTCGTAAGTAAGATTTTAATTTCAAATTTTATAAATGAAAAAAATAAATTTAAAAGAATTTATCTTTCTTATAGATTCGATCCAACTAGACTCCAGAGTAATTAGAGTCTAAAGTAATTACCAAATACCGAGAGGTCCTAGATTAAAAAATAAAAATCTTGTACTTGGTTGACAGTTTCACTTAATTAGGTAAAACATGAATATGAATTTTCTTACTTTTATTATATGAAAGTTTAATATCTTGCGTAAAGAACAGAGTTTCAACATTTGAATTGTGCTGGAATTTATACTTATGGCCAGTCTAGACGTCTCATGATTCAATTTGAAACTATTCTTCAACCGAACTTTTTCTATGTTGCTTCGTTCCATGGGATCTATTGAAAATAAAATTTTACATCATATTTATCATCCAAACAAGTTTATTGTGCGTAAAATGCACAGGATTTTTATAATATAAGGGTTAAAGATTAAAATAGTCTTTGAAATATATTTTTTTCTCAGTTTGATACTTAAAAAAATAAAATTTTCAAATTGATACTTAAACTTTTATTCTCTTATCATGTTGATACCAGCGACTGACGTCGTTAAGGTACAATTAGATGGATTAACATCCAATAAAATACTAATACATATAAAAAAATCAGTTAAGACTACATAATCAATATCACGTCTGTATAAAAAAATTTGTTTAGTTTATGATTATTTATTTTGCTAATTAATTGATTTATGGTTTTTCAAAAAAAAAAAAGAAAAAATTTTGATTCGGTTTGAAGTCTAGTGTTCTAATTGAAAAAAGGAATATATTGATTTGAGAGGTGAACTTGGATTAAAAATCTAAAATTGACTTTGATTAGGAGATTGAAACTAAGAAAACCTTCTCTTGTTGTGATTTAGATAAGAGACCTATAAAAAAAACCCATTAGGATCAATTAGATACAATGAAAAATCAATCAAAAAAAATCAAAAAAGAAAGAGTCAAAAAAAATTAAGAGTTTTTTTATAGTCTTCTTTGGTGTTTTAGGTTTAGATAATTAGGATTTTCTTCTGGGAGTTTTGTGTTGAGGAAAAGAGTTAAGATGAAACACCAAAGGGAAGCACTAAACAAAAAGTTTTTGCAGCAAAATTTTTTAGAGTTTCAGGCATATAGGTTTTAGGTTTTTGTTTGATTTTTGTTTAAATCAAAAAGAAAGGCAATCACTACAAGTGAGGAGCACCAGTGAAATCATAGGTTGTCTTGTATAGAAACAAGAAAGAAAATAAGGTAATTTCCATTTTTTCCTTCTTTATTTGTATATTTGTCATAATGTTTAGGTTGGGAGAATCAACTCAATAGACACAAAAATCATAAAATAGCTACCAATCTTTTTTTACCTAGATGTGATTGGCTACCTATGTGAATCTGTGCTCTTTAAAGTGTTTTAAGTGTAAACTAAAGGTCCTTAAAAGGAATAAATTTTGGTTTACATCATTAAAACTAAGGTTCGAGAATTAGTTTAATATAAGGAAAGTATTAACACCCCTTTATGCCAAAAATTGGTACCATATTAATTATATGTTACCTTACCTAAGCCTTATCAAAGATGGTTTCATCAAGCAAACAAATCAATTCCAATCCTTTTATTTATTTACAAAGCATGGTGATACAAAAATTCTATCAAAATATCAAGCAATCATGCAATAAATATTAAATTATACCATGCAAAAATTATCATGCAAATATATTATAAATCTTGCCAAATATCATGTAATAATATCATACCTAGACCATGCTAAAATATTCATGTAAGAATATCATGCAAATATATTATCATGTAATAATAACAATCATGCAAATATGCAAATCAAATATAATCATACAAATAAGTTAGTAATATAATCATGCAATTATGCACATAATAAATATAAAAATATACAATTAGATATCATTCAAAATTAATATAATATCATATCATGCGATAAATATAAAATTATGCAATAATAATAATCATGCAAATAAATATATTAATAATCATACAATTACACAAACAAATAAATTAATAATCATGCAAATAGACATGCAATTAAATATATAATCATACAATTAACAATGTAAAACATGTAATTAAATATCTAATCACGCAATTAACAATGTAAAACATGCAAATAAATATATAATCATGCAAATATATATAATTATGCAATTAACAATATAAAACATGCAAATGTAAATTATCATGCAATTAATAATATAAAACATGCAATTAAATATATTATCATGCAATTAACAATATAAAACATGCAACTAAATATATAATCATGCAATTAACAATATAAAACATTCCATTAAATAAATAATCATGCAATCACACAAATAAATAAATTGATAATCATGCAAATGAATAGTCATGCAAATATATTAATAAACCACACAAATATATTAATCATACAAATAAAATATTAAGCAAATAAATTATCATTCAAATATAATATTAGTTAGGCAAATTCAAGCAAAAGTGAATTCCATGTAATAAATATAAAAATAAGAGTAAGTAATTAAATATTATAAAAGTTAGGTAAAAATTACAAAAAAAAAAAAAAAGAAAGCAATCATTACCTTAATGGACCACAGGTTTCAATTTTTTACCTTTCAAAAACTAATACTTCCTACTATAAATTTTAACCTTCTTTCCTAAAACTCCAACTGGATCTTCTTGCCAAATTTTTTTACTTGATTGCTTCTTCCTTGTTGATTCAAAACTTTGCCCAAATTTTCTCTCTTTTCAATGACCTTTGTTTGATCTTGAAGTCTATTTCTGTCAAGCCCCTGATTTAAGGTCCCTATTTTGATCTTGATTCAAGGTCCTTATACAGAGATTGAATTCCTTTCGATTTAGAAGAAATTAATTCAACCGAATATACAATTTCTCTCCAAAATTTATTTTTTGTGTAATCTTCCCTTTTTCAATAGCTTGAGCCCCAAATCTTTCCAAAATTATTCAATCGTTAGAGTTGAAATCTGAGATAGAATCCAAGAGTTACATTGAATCCAAGATTTTCCATGAAAAATCCCATTTTTTTATTTTTTAATATTTCTTTATTGTTTTTACCAATTTACTTTGACTCTTTTGACTAAAAAAACAAAAATTAAACTAAAAAAATTTAAAATACAAATAAAATTTAGGGCTTAATCTTTGGGTCCAAAATTCACTTTTTCGATTAAACTCAATTGCACAATCAAAATAAAAAATTGAAGCCCAATGTATTTCAAAAAATCCTCAGATAAAATAAAGTATCTACAGTTACCCCTTTTTGTGCATTCTATGAAACAGAAATTGTACAAAAACAAAAGACATCCATTTTGATCGAGTCAAAAAAAATCAAAAAAGAAAATTGTAAAGGCTCCTCCTTAGAGGTTTGAAACTTCTTTTTTTTAAAAAAAAAATGCTCCCCCTACAACTAAGGCTTTGAAACTTTTGAAAAATAAAATGCTCCTTCACAACTGAGATTTTGAAACTTTTAAAAATAAAATGCTTCCCTACAATTGAAACATTGGAATTTTTTAAAATAAAATGTTCCCCCACAATTGAACTTTGAAATTTTGAAAAATAAAATATTTCTCCACAACTGAGGCTTTGGAACTTTAGAAAATAAAATACTCCCTCACAACTAAGGCTTTGAAGCTTTTAAAAAATAAAATGCTCCTCCATAGTTAAGACTTTGAGACTTTAAAAAATAAAATGCTCCCCCACAACTAAGGCTTTGAAACTTTAAAAAATAAAATATTCCCCCACAACTGAGGCTTTGAAACTTTTGAAAAATAAAATGAGATCATTCTTACCTTTGAAAAAGCTCCTCCCTAATAGAGGTATTGAAACTTTAAAAAATCTTACCTTAAATTGAGTTTTTGAATTTCATTTGAATCATCATCGATTGCCTTTCAATGTCTCTAATTAAAATTATTTTCTCATCTAGTTTTTTCTTCCTACTTTCTAAACATATGCAATGAATGCATGCAATGAATGAAAAGATTCTTCATAATTCTCAAATTCAATTTCAAGATTTTAATTTTAATTTTTCTTCCTTTCAAACATACATGATGCATGGGATTAATATGATGAACACAATGTATGCATACAATGAATGTATGAGCCAAAGCTTTTTCAAAATTTCATCCTAATTTCACAACTTAAACTTTGATCTTTCTTTTTCAAACATGAAAGTGCATGAGTGCAATAAATGCGATGATATATGCAACATGTAATACATGCAA